GCGCCGACTGCTGGCTCATCGAGGGCGACAAGGGGTACGTGTGGCTGGCCATCTGCAGCCAGAACCAGCCGCCCTACGAGACCATCCCGCAGCACATCAACAGCACGGTGCACGACCTGCGGCTCAACGAGAACAAGCTCAAGGCCGTGCTCTACTCCTCGCTCAACCGCTTCGGGAACCTCACCGACCTCAACCTCACCAAGAACGAGATCTCCTACATCGAGGACGGCGCCTTCCTGGGCCAGGCGAGCCTGCAGGTGCTGCAGCTGGGCTACAACAAGCTCAGCAACCTGACCGAGGGCATGCTGCGCGGCATGGGCCGCCTGCAGTTCCTCTTCGTGCAGCACAACCTCATCGAGGTGGTGACGCCCGCGGCCTTCTCCGAGTGCCCGAGCCTCATCAGCATCGACCTGTCCTCCAACCGCCTCAGCCGCCTGGACGGCGCCACCTTCGCCAGCCTGGCCAGCCTCATGGTGTGCGAACTGGCCGGCAACCCCTTCAACTGCGAGTGCGACCTCTACGGCTTCCTCACCTGGCTCGTGGTCTTCAACAACGTCACCAAGAACTACGACCGCCTGCAGTGCGAGTCCCCGCGGGAGTTCGCCGGCTACCCGCTGCTGGTGCCCCGGCCCTACCACAGCCTCAACGCCATCACCGTGCTCCAGGCCAAGTGCCGCAACGGCTCGCTGCCCGCCCGGCCCGCCAGCCACCCCACGCCCTACTCCACCGACGCCCAGCGGGAGCCGGATGAGAACTCGGGCTTCAACCCCGACGACATCCTCTCGGTGGAGCCGCCGGCCTCGTCCACCACGGACGCGTCCGCTGGGCCGGCCATCAAGCTGCACCACGTCACCTTCACCTCGGCCACCCTGGTGGTCATCATCCCGCACCCCTACAGCAAGATGTACGTCCTGGTCCAGTACAACAACAGCTACATCTCCGACGTCATGACGCTCAAGAACAAGAAGGAGATCGTCACCCTCGACAAGCTGCGGGCGCACACCGAGTACACCTTCTGCGTGACCTCGCTGCGCAACAGCCGCCGCTTCAACCACACCTGCCTGGCCTTCACCACGCGGGACCCGGTCCCGGGGGACCTGGCGCCCAGCACCTCCACCACCACCCACTACATCATGACCATCCTGGGCTGCCTCTTCGGCATGGTCATCGTGCTGGGGGCGGTCTACTACTGCCTGCGCAAGCGGCGCATGCAGGAGGAGAAGCAGAAGTGCGGCAAGGTCAAGAAGACCATCCTGGAGATGCGCTACGGGGCCGACATGGAGGCCGGCTCCATCGTGCACGCCGCCCAGAAGCTGGGCGAGCCCCCAGTGCTGCCCGTGTCCCGCATGTCCTCCCTCCCGTCCATCATCGGGGAGAAGCTGCCCACTGCCAAGGGTCTGGAGGCCGGGCTGGACACGCCCAAGGTGGCCACCAAGGGCAACTACATGGAGGTGCGTACCGGCACCAGCACTAGCACCGGCACCGGCACCGGCTCTGGCCCCGGCACTGGCCCCGGCCCCCCGGGGGCGGGGAACAGCCAGGGCTCAGCCACTGAGATCTCCACCATCGCCAAGGAGGTGGACAAGGTCAACCAGATCATCAATAACTGCATTGATGCCCTCAAGCTGGACGCGGCCTCCTTCATAGGGGGCGGCAGCAGTGGCGGGGACCCCGAGCTGGCCTTCGAGTGCCAGTCCC